GCGTGGGCATGTTCGCGCACACGAACACAGAACACACACATGTTGCAACTTTAGCTATAGAAAAGTTTGCCATTTAGTTTTTTTCTTTTGCCCTGAACTTTACCACATATATAGCATAAAAACCCAAGATCTCTTGCACCATATTAAAGTTATCCTTCATATATAATGATACTTTTAGTAATTAACAAGCACAACAAAGCATAGCAATGGTAGGAAAAGCAATATTGACTTGCTTCAATCTTATTGATGTACAGCAATACAAGATCTTAAGAGAAAAAAAATAATTGAAACTGAAATAGACCATCTATATATCAAAGTTAAGTTTGCTATCTTATTTTTGTAGATGGGGAAAAGGTAATAAAAAGTGTCTCTCATAAAAGAAACCGCAAGTATAAAGAGATATAGAAATTAGAATTAAATAATTTAAACAGTTTTATTATATATGGGTTAAACTTAAATAAATCCACACTACACAAGCTAGCCAGTCTTTTTTATTTTATTTTTTTGGTCAAAGAGTACGTAGTGTTCTTTATTGGATAAAAGGTAGTCTATTGAGTGAACTCACGTGTCGTAATTAGAGGAAAAGCAACGGAGTGTCACGTCACCAATTGGACCGCATCGACATGACAGTATAATTCTGTACTGAAAAAATATATCAGTTTAATAAAGTCACAAGTCACAACAATGACTATATATATCAGTATAAAAATTTTACGTAAGACTTTTATACAAGACATTCATCAACGCCTCTTTTTGAAGAGGACACCAAAAGCTATACAGTTTTAAAATCATAATTAACAGTAATTAACAATCATTTAATGAAGAATTGCATGCATAATCGCAGGGAGGTGTCAAGTGATGGGGAACAAAAAAAAAGGCTCCAAATCCAAAGACTTAAAGTTAAAGGCTTGAAAGGCACATGATGACAAACAAAGCGAGAAATATATACGAATGCTTCTTGAGGATCAAGCTAAGCAAGTAAAGAGAGCAATAAAAACAGAGAATTAAAGTGGAACTAGCACCCAGACATGCTATTGGATGCTGCTTTCTCTAGTCAAGAACCTGGGCACGAGAGGAGTGTTTAACAATGGTGCACAAAAGTACAAGTGCTTTTGGTCACCTCGATGCCTGGAATCTATGCTAATAATATCAATATTCTTGTGTACTCTTTTTGATTGCTTGTACACCCCGTATCTTGAACCTATCCTAAAGTTGAGTTGAGAAGACTTAATGTAAGTCTAAACTAATCTAGATCAAGTATTAAGAGATCTTTTTGGACAGTGGGCTAGCTCCATTATTCAGAGCTTAAAACCACTAATTAAGTTAGAACAATCTTTTACACGTTGAATAGGCTCTTAAGTGATAAATATTCTTGTGTGCTGATGATGGACCGAGTGGAGCCCAAGGGATGATATGTAGAGCGAAACGCGACCGAGTGAGAATCCAAAACGAAAGCGTATATGTTCACTCTCTTTGGAATTTTCCCTCCGCAATGGAACCACAGCCAACTTTTTCATTGAAAGGAGCTAACCTGAAGCTCTCTCTAGAATCGAATTTACCCACCAGAATTGATTGATACATATACTTATATTCATCAGTACTACTGTCACATCACAATCTATTTTAACCATCTTTTACTGGACATTTTTATGCTTAACGCATGTTGAATGTACATAAAGCCACTAGACGTGTCGATCTCCCGATTAGAGTTTTCTGAGATATAAGATGCTTATAAACACGCTCTCAATGCTTTCACGCACACTTAAATGGAGATCAAGTTGAAAAGGAATGATACCGTTAACCATCTCCGTTGGAGGTCAGAGGTATAATATATGATGCAAAGTATTGTACCTGTTTATGTCCATGGATCATATAGTTTTTTTTTTCCTTTTAACTTGTTGCTTTTTGAGATCCATCGATGGTGGTTAATCTTAATCATGTGTGGTCGGCTAGCTTGTTCTTTTTTACCAAAACCTAGGGTTTATATTGGAGAGAGAGCAGCTCCGTTTGTGATCTCTGATCAACTTTCTCTCCGTCTTTGTACGGAAGACATGTCAAAATGATTCTTCTGGGGGATCGTATCATAATCTTTATGAACAAGTGGTTTTCATTTGCTCCTTGACTGGGATGCATGCATTTTATTATTTCCTTCACTTTAGAATATATGTTACCTCACACATTCTTGGATTAACTAGTTTAAGAGTTGATATCCCTCTTATCTAGAGATATTAAGTTCAAATTTTGAGTATATATATGTGGCAGTGATTAACTTCTTGATGGGAGATATATCCCCTAAAGAGGTGCCTGCTAGCTATTGATCAGAAAAACTTGGGTCAAAAATCTAGGATACTAGAGTGAAAGAAAAAATAATCACCTAACAAAATGGTTTATAATTTTAACTAAATTAAAAAAAATGTATACTGTACCTTCAATTTAATGGGGGTGGAAAATGGCGTTTGCATTATTTACCATGTAATTAAATTATAAGAGACAATTAGCAGCGAGCTCAAAGCATCTTGAGGGGATTTTATCTTTATGCATAAATTGTTTACGGGAGGAATATGGAAGTATGATGGAGCCATTTCATGTCATCGAATCTTTTTGAGATTATTTGATAGATTTGTTGCTGTTGTTGTTGTTAAATATGTTCGTGGCGACACGAAGAAAGCTTTTCTAACACGTTAGATGATATGAAAACAAATTTACTTGAACAAAATATATTCTTTTCTTTTTAATACAATGAACAAAATATATTCTAACAAATATGTTTCTTTAGCTTAAACACAATGCACATATGGGGCAATAAATCTACATTGCTCCATATATATATAATTGAAAATTCTGAGTGCTATATATATATATATATATATTGGTTAAGATTGAATTTTGCTCTTATACTTATTTTATAGGAGTCCGGGCATCTTATATTCTTAAATGAAATAATTTTTTTTAAAATATTTTTTTAAGGTCCAAAAATGCCCATCTATTAGCAGACCGTTAACTTTGCCCTTTTTTTACTCATATGACATATGCATAGAGCACACGCACACTGACACATAAGACTCTAACTATAAATTATATTTTTTAGTGTTAATTGGCCCTAAATTCTTTTTCTAAGACCGTTAGATATCTTAAAATCTTTTTCTAGAGGCATTGGATATCTTGAAGTCTTATTAAAATAAAATTTAATAAATATTATCAAAATATTAAATATTTTCATATTTAATAATGTAAATATTATTATTTATAAATATTCATTCAAAATTTATAAATTACTTTTTAAATATTAACAACTCAAACTAGCATTTTCTAAATTTATAGATAATTTTTTATTTTTTTATAAATCAGTCTTCGATCTTCTCTTCAAAATAGTGACCAAATCGTTATGTTTTTTTTTTTACATGTTAGAACTTATTTATATTTTTAATATTAGTTAAGTTTCTTAATTTTTAGGTTATTTCTTGTAATCTTTTGGTCAACTAACTATCTTCCTCAAAAATATTACACTACTTAAATTTATTACTCTCTGTATGTTGAAGTGTTAGGAGTAAAAGAAAAAATATGACAAATTAGGATCAATAATATGCTAACAAAAATATTTATTTGAAAGATATCGTTTATTTCATTAATATGTTATAGAAAAAAGTTACTCCCTCCATTAAAAAATATAAAATATTTTTAATCGAATCTCATCTCCTAATAAAATAGCTACATATTTTTAAATTAACCCTATCTTTTCATATTTATCCCTATTAAACACCCTAAAATAAATATAAAGTCATTAATTAATGACGACACTTTTGAAAAAAGGCAATGATTACAGCTCAAAAGACTAAAAATATTTTATATTTTTTAACATCTAATTTATCAAACAATACCTTATATTTTTAAATGGAGGGAGTACTTAACAAGAGAAAAATGAAGATATGAGGAAAAAAATCTCTTCATTGATTTAAAGGTTCATTCCCTTCATTTTTAATACAAAATTACAAAATATCAAAAATTTAAAATATTAAGTTGGGTTTTGTAATGTTTTAAATAATAATATTTAAATTATTAAATATTAAAATACTTAATATTTAATTAATATTTATTAAATTTTATTTTAGTAAAACTTAAGAATGCTTAGCGCTCATAGAAAAAGAGTTTAGGGGTAAATAAGTGCTAAATAATAATGTCAAAGTCTTATATGTTATTATATGTGGACCCTATACACATGCTACGTTAATAAAAAATAAAAAAAATTAACAATTGACTAACAAAAAGGAGGTTTTTGACTCTTCAAAAAAATAATTTAAAAATAAAATTATCCCACTTAAAAGTATAGAACTTCCAACGCTTTTAACAAATAAGTATAAGGATAAAACTAATTTTTTTTACAATATAATTTTTGAGTTAAGACTTTTTCATATTGGTTTACTTAAAATTCACGTACAAGTGAGTAGTAAAACCAAAATAACGTTTCTCAATATAACTATTTTTCCAAATCAGTTTTGAAATCACATCATTCTTAGTCATTTTCTAATCCAGTTTAAGCTATTTTAAAGTGATACACTTGGTATAATTAGCATGTAAAAATCCAGTTGTCACCCATAACACAGCTCATGGGGGCGAGGAAGAGAAGAGCGTAACAACGTTTTAATTAGATCACACTATACACTCCAATGCAAAGCACTTGATGGAATGAAGAAAACCCTAAAAATAGAAATTGAATATTAATTATATTATTATTGAATTAGCACCTGAAAGAAACTAAAACAAATTAAGTTACATGTACATCCCTATGCTTGGTCAACCCAATTTCTGCTGTGTCTCCTGGCTTGGCGCGGGTTAACAACACGACCCGACCCGGATTGGCGGTGCTTGGTTCGCCGTGAGCCTCGCGTTGACGCGTCGCCAGTGAGAGGCTGACGGCTATACGCACAACCCCCATCCCTATATATATATGATTCTCGAGCCTTTTAACACCCCCATACTCTCCTTCTTCTTAGCTAACTGCTCGTAATTACCATTTTCTCCTTCTCTCTCTCCCTCCCCCCTTTTTCCTCTGCCTGTCTCTCTGGCTCTTCGCTGTTTTCTGTTTCTCTGCTTGCTCTTGTCTAACAGTCTTCTTCTGCATTGTTCTCTTGCAACTCATAGCCATGAAGACTTTTCTGGGACAGGCTCTCATCCCATTTCGCTGTGCTTTATAGGGTCATAATCTTTATATATAGAGAGAGGGGACGTGGTTATCTTCTTTTTTTCTTGGCGTAAAAAACGGGCAGAATTTTCAGGATGTTGCAGGATGTCATCCACGCTCCACCGCCACCTCCACCTCCACCCCAGGCGGAGCAGCAACTCACCAATATTGTAATGACCTCAAGTCTTAATCGTGATACTGTTTAATGCATATACGTTTATGATATGATGGGCTTTCTTTCTTTCTTCCTTTCTTCCTTTTTTTTTTTTGAGGGGGGTGATTATTATAAATATACAATGAAGCTGAGGAGTGGGTTATTGTTTCGCTCTTGAAATCATGTCATGTCTTAGGTGTATGTTCAATTCATTTATATCTGATGATCTTCGCTGTGACATTCCATGCACGCACGAATGGTATGTTTATGTCCTGTTTGATATTTGATTATTTGTCAATATCGATTTGTAATTATTGTTCATTGAAATATTCCTCTTCCTAGTGATATTCCTGAAGGTAGAGTTAAATGCAATAAACAATGTACATATACGGACACACACACGTGTTAGAGTATTTCAGAGGAAATCAGAAACCACCTTACACTGCAGGACAAGAAAGTTTTGTTTCCTTTATTTATATGGTTGGAAAGCAACGAGTTAATTTATTGACTGGGGAATAAGAACGAATCAGAGACTCCGTAAGAATTAGGCTTTGCCCTTTTTCTGATATTGTCCAATCAAAAGATGTTATGCCACTGAACTGTCATTTTCTAAGGGCAACATAGGAAATGTAGCCATATCTTCATTACTGCATTTCCGTGATAATCTTTTAAACGATTTTTAGCTGCAAGATGACTTTGAACGTAGCTTTCATTTCCTGTGGAATATATATCCATGTTTTTTTTTTTTTTGCGCTTTCTGTGCACGCTGTGCAAAATTTGATTCTTTTATTCAGTTTGATAGAAGAGAGTACTTGATGAAAACAATTCACATGTTGGAGTTCCTTGAGACTCTTTCGTATTTCCCATTGTAGGGATATTTTCCATATATTGAACAAAAAAATAAAGGGCCATGAGGTTCCTTCTTCGTTTACACAATGTTTCTGGTGCAAATATCAAATGCCCTGGCTCCTACAGGTCACATGGAGGGATAGATGCACGTCTTTTTCTTCTATGACCCAAAAAAAAGCCAACCCCTTTTAGAGAATTTTATATTTGTTTACGACTAATTATAGACAAAACTGACTGGACTTTGCAACCAATGAGTTACATTTGGAATGTGTTATTGGGGTTTTCTACGTTGAATTATTTCCTTTTCTTCTAGACAAGGATTGGGAACTAGTATTGTGGCAGACACTGTTATATATTAATTGACAGGTTTTTAACTCACTCTGGAATGCATGCCCACCATCTGATGATGACAACTGCGAAAACGAAACTAAAATTGATTAGAGAATATTTATGGGAAAACAAAACCAAAATTAATTAGAGCATATTTATGGGAAAACAAAACTAAAATTGATTAGAGAATATTTAGCTTCTCAGTGTTCAAATCATGAGATCTCTTTTCTGTTTTAAATGACCCTATCAGGCTCGTGTCTATCAACAAGTAGAGGAATTGATTCAGGCCTACAATGAAAAAAGTTATAGAGAATCACGCTTCTTCAAGTTTGTTTTAAATAGGGTCTGCCCTGCAAGTTATTCTGAGTTATTGTGTATAGTAGATTTTGGAAGCCATGCTGTTCACAATGCTTTTATATCACTTGGTGCAGGATGAAATCTCAAGCCCAATCAGTGCTCGAATTTTCGAGCTTTGCGACCCTGAATTGTTCCCTGAGACCCTCCAGAATTCTGAGGTTACCTCCAGCTCAAACTGTTGCTATGAAGAGAATTCCTCCTATGCCCCGAACATATCTCTAGCTTCAGATGTGGACAATAAGTTCAACAATAGCAATACAATCACCAACCCAACCAGCACAAATCCAACCAGCAGCGGTGCGGCTGCCGCCACCGCCGCCGCCGACAACAATAATACAGCCAACAATAGCAATCTGTCCATTGTCTTTGACTCCCAGGATGAAATTGACAATGACATTTCAGCCTCCATAGACTTCTCATCATCTCCTGCTGCTTTCCCTGTCCCTCCATTTCTGCCACTCACAACTCAACAGGACCAGCAATTTGATTTCTCTTCACTGCAGCCTCAGGTCACACTCGCAGCCAGTTCAGTTGTGGAAGGCCTTGCACACTACGCCACTGACTCTGCTGTTGCACCTCTTATGGGGGCTTCATTAGCTTCTGTTTTTGAAGAGGATTGCTTATCTTCTGTCCCTTCTTATGTGCCTTTGAACCCTTCATCTCCTTCTTGCTCTTATCTCAACCCCGGTATAGGACCTTACATGCCTCTTGGTCCCCTTAATACTGCCTTATCTGCTGATAGTTCGGGGATATTTGGTGGGAGCATTCTCCTAGGCTCTGAACTTCAGGCACAGGAACTGGATTACCAGGGAGAAAATGGTACAATTTATTGTCCAGATTCAATTCAAAGGGTTTTCAATCCTCCAGACCTCCAGGTATAAGCAATTTTCTTGTTTCTTTTAAAAAAATCTTAGTTCAGTATTTTTCAAGTTCTGGTTGATTGATTTCTTTCCTCAGTGAAAACCCTAATTAAGAAGGCTCAGTTCAATATAATATATCAAAAAACAAGGAAAAGGAAGTCCAGCTCCAAAGCTCTCTATTTGCAAATCTGAAAGGTTGAAGCAGTAACGGTCCTTGCAACCAGTAAGCTGAAGGAGCCCCATAGGTGCTCAGAAACATCAACCAGAGGCTACATTCACTGTATCAGTCCCTTTGGAATGTCACCTGCGTTAAAAAGTGGCATAAAGTTGGGCTAGCAGGAAGAAGTCACAACTTTCAACAAAAAAATTATGCATAAACATTACTAATATTATTAGTAGAGAAGACCCACTTTATGGCCACCTTTGTTGTCTATCGCTTTCTAAAGCATCTTTTTAAAGCTAAACTTGATACTTAACCGTCGGTTGATCAATAAGTGACTGTTATTTGTGATCTCGATCAGGCACTTAGTGCTGAGAATCAGCAACTTGTAGCTGGGGCTGGGAGTTCCACCACTTTGACACCAGAAATATCAAACTTGGAGGATTCTACCTTCAAGGTCGGAAAACTTTCTGTTGAGCAAAGGAAAGAAAAGATTCATAGATACATGAAGAAAAGGAATGAGAGAAACTTCAGCAAGAAAATCAAGGTACTCCCATACTTTATGATCAGGAAATTATAAAAAGAAAAAGTTCTTAGACATATTATTTTTTAATAACAAAGATCTAAGGTTTTTCAAGTCACATCAAACAATTCACTCGTGTGATTTTTAGTTCTGTAAGTTATGAAGGTTTAAAACTAATGAAGCAAATGTGTGTGCAGTATGCTTGTCGCAAAACTCTAGCAGATAGCAGGCCTCGGGTCAGAGGAAGGTTTGCAAAGAATGATGATTTTGGAGATAATCACAGACCCGCTTGTAGCAATCACGAAGAAGATGATGAAGACGACGTAAGATTCCCTTGAAAACGTTTTTGGTTCAATTTGCCTATATATGTGTGAAAGAAAAATCCCTATCACCTTTTCTTTTTTCCCCCCTTTTTATCAATTGATGTGTCTTGCAAAATTCCCTCATCCAATTATATATATTCCTTCTTGTGACGGTACACGCAGGTGGTTGTGAAGGAAGAAGATGATATGGTTGATTCCTCAGATATTTTTGCTCATATCAGTGGAGTGAACTCCTTCAAATGCAACTATTCCATCCAGTCCTGGATTTGACTCAACAACACAGTCTGATCACACTACACACATAGAGATTTAGTTTAGAAAATTTGCAGGGCCCTGTTCCATCCATCCTGGTTTGATGGTTTAAGGAAAGTAAATAATTGGGGTCGTCGTATTAATCCCAATAAGAGTCAGGAGATATATATATATGTTATATTATATATACTCACACCCACAAATCTATATCTATATAGAAACGACGAAAGAAAATTAATGTATACATTTTTGCACATATTACATTCAAGTCATTACTTGCACCTACAGAAGTGTCCCAAGTTTTTATACATGAACGCAAGGCAAAAATCTTGGAGCTCATTGATGCATTGTTTTTATATATGATGATGTTTAAGAACTAGCCTTGAAGATGAAGTGATTTTCATCACAGGCTTGAAATATGTTTCTTTGAACTGTTACAAGGCATTTGAAAGAGAAGATAAGTTGCATGATCAGAGATTTTCTGGTTTAGATGATGGTTTTGCAATGCCAGCATGTATGCCTTGCAATAAAGAAATTTCTATATCCGTAAACATATATGCTGTAATACAAATAATAAGCCTGATTCAGAAACTCCAATATATATGCAGTTTGCTTGATCAAAAAATGATGCCGTCTTCATGGAAATTTAATTTTCAAAATTAGATGTGTGCGTGAGTTATCAGACTGCAGAAAATTATTGAAGAGCAAAATTAAAATTCTTTTCTGAGGAGATAGGTCCCTTTCTTTTCTTTTTAAGAAGGCATTTTCAAGTACCTTTTAGGTAATATAATGTAATGTAATGATGTCTCTTGAAAGACCGATTTGCTCTTTAATCTTGATGAGAGAAAAAGCATGAGTTTCTAAATAAAGTATCTAACATTTGATATTATCAAGTTAAATTTGAGCATTCTTAGGTGTAAGCGAGCTAACTATTTCAAATATGTGTTTTAACTTGCATCAACACAGATTTGAACTCAACTCCATACTTTAAGTTTTTGCTTGGATAGAGAAAAAAATTTAAAGAAAATAATACTAGAAGTGAAAACTCTAGATCATATTTCCCCTCCCACTAGTGCATGGTGGGTGCATGATTTGTTTGTCCCTGTCCTTTTATACTTCTGCAAGAAAATGCAAAGCCTATCTGTGTGAATAATGCAGAAAATTCATGGGGAAGATTCTAACCAAGAAAGGAAACTATCAATATCATGGCCTGTTACGAGTGCAGGAAGCTTTAGCATTTGCATCTAATTCCTCATTAACAACTTTGACGCTTTGGAACAAACAAGCATTGTATCTTCCATTATCATTCACCTTTATTAATTCCTAATACTGTATGGATAAAATTAAGTGTTAAAGCACAATTTTTTTTTCCTTCAAAAAGTTTCACAGAAACACAATTGATATACTAAAATATTTAAAAGTATAACGTCATTTCAATATTTTTTAAAACCATGCAATGTTCAAATTGAATAAATTTCATGACTAATAATTAAAAATATATATAGGCCAACTTTGTTTTCAGTTAAGTTGAATGGGTTTGCCACTTGACCTTTGTTATTTGGGTGGCCTGAAAAAATAGAGAAGAGAGAATAGCTACATAGAAGCTGTTTGAAGTTATTTTTATTTTATTATTTTAAGAACTGGTATTTTATAGAACATGTTCTGAGAAAAAAATAAAAATAAATGTTTTTTTCATTCTTTTTTGTTCTCCAGAATAATGATCACATCATATCTAAAAGTTGTTTTCATTTTTATATTCTACAAAACAATATTTTCTTTTTTTTTTGTTCTGCAAAATATTTTTAAAAAACATGTTATCAAACATAATTATTTGTTCTCTTGTTCTTGAAAATAGAAAACTATTCTCAAAATAATTTTCAAACAAGCCCATATTTTCTTTTTATTATTTTCCCATTCATATATTTCTTTTATTTTCTTCTCTATCTAGACAAATTCCTGGTATTATATCAAGAATGATTTAAGGAAAATTCATACATTTCTTTTTTATTTTTATAAAATGATGTCTTTATTTTGCTTTTTTAATAAAAAGTTTATGTAAGTTGAATTTTTTAGACTTAAAACCATGACAAGTGTTAGGACTAAAAAAATTATGAAAAAATTACATGTAGATATCATGTAAGAGAATTTACTATTGAAAGGTCATAAAATTTTTAAAATATTTTCAAGTTTCAAATCTTACGTACTTACAACTTGATTAAGGTCTAAAAGTATTAACAACTAAGCAATAGCTATTTATAATATACTATTACAAGGTGTCATTTTTTTATTTTTCTCTATAAGTTGTAAATGATTGTTGTTCAGTTATTAATACCTTTAGTCAAGTTGTAAATATACAGAATTTGAGATTTGATAATATTTTGTGAATTTCATGGACTTTTTGATAATAAATTTCTTTATGTGAAACCTAAAAATAATTTTCTCAAACAAATATTCTTGTCACTTTATCTTCTTCTTCAAATTCTTTATAAGAAATGATTGAGAATGGTTTTTTGAGTCTGAATATAAGAAACAACTACTTGTTATCTTATATGTTTATTGAAAATTTTATTTTTTACTCTCATAGTTAAGTATGTATCATAAAATACACGGTCATTATATTAAACAATCAATATAAGCATTTTTGCAGAAAATAAATTATAAATATGTTTAGTAATTAAATATTTTTTTGGCCAAGAAATTATTCTTTGATTTATGCAATTTACTTTGTAAAAATGTGAAAGCATAATACAAAAAATTAAACTAACACTACATGTGGATAATATAAAAACATTAAGGGTTAAAGATATTTTTTTATTTTAAACTTTTTTAAGGATGCCGAACACCCTACGTTAAAAGGTAGAGCGATATTTTAATAAATATTTTTTAAAAAAACAAAATTATCATTATTTACCCACCGTCTTCGCCATTGTGAAAGAGTTGAGTTGGGGCCCATGCATGGAACACCAATGTATTTAATTCTATTTTGTTGTCATTCCTCAACCAAAATTAAGTCGATTCCTATCATTGCCACTATCACTTTTAACCTCTTTGACCTATGTCAAACTATTAAAATATATCAAATTTTTTGTTATCATTGTATATAGCCTCCTCACTATTTCATGTTAACAAATAATAAAAAAGATTATGAATTTTTAATAAAAAGATAATTTTTCTTTTAAAAACATTTGTTTAGGATGAATAATATCCCACTAAATGTTTAGCGCTCCTAAAAAATCATTGATGGAAAAAATGATGAAAACCCAAACACTAAAGATGATACTCCCTCCGTTTTAAATTATAAGATATTTTTAAATGAAATTTATCATCTTAAAATATAAGATACTTTAAAAAAATTAAAATTTAATTAAATAGGCTTATTCCATACTATCTCTCTCTTTATTTAATACAACCTCTATCCCAAATTATAACACACTTTTAGATAAAATTTACATACCAATGACCCTCAATAAATACACTCAACAACTTTATTTTTTTCAAAATAAAATTATAAATTTTTAAAAATACTCTTCATTTAATAATCTTAAATCCACATCTAATTAGTATTAAATAGAGATAGAAAATGATAATATTAAAATAAGTTTATTTAACAAAAATTTAATTTTTTTAAAGTATTTTATATTTTGAGAAGTTAATTTTTTTTAAATATTTTATAATTTGAGATGTAGAGAGTAATAATTACGTATAGGTTTAAAGTTGTTAAATGAATGATATTTTTAAAAATTTATATTTTTATTTTAAAAAAAATTATTAAATATATTTAATAAAATTTATTGTATGAGAAATTTTATTTAAAAATATTTTGTAATTTAATACGGATGGGTTTTTTTTTTTGGTAGATTAAAATATGGTATATTTAGTGCGAGAGAATGCAGGCAAGGGGCCTGCCCATCCTGCCTCTGCTAAATTGTTGGTCAATGAAAGAGGAATATATGTGCTTGACCACCATATGCGCAGTTAATATCACACGCTCTCTCTCCACCACATGCCTCAAGCAAATGTGGAGTTTAATCAATGCATGTGTCTCAGTGTCTGCATCAAGAACAACAACAATTTCTTTTTCACTGGCCCCACAAATTCTGAGTTCAAGAAATTGATTATTTTCCTTTTGAGATCTCCATCCAAATATTTTCCCTCAGCGTTGCAAGTGGCCTGCAAAAATTCCTCGGGCTCTAGTGGACTCACTTACCTATCGTGCGCACCAGCTCATCAAAATCTGACATCTTTCTTTGTCACTTACGACCCCCATTTCCTTTATCCTTGTTCAAGAGCTTTTGGTACACAGTACATTGTGGAACTCGGCTCAGCTCACCGGATGCGAGATAAAAAAATTGGGTCCTACAAGCGAACCCTGATTTTTTGGGCATTCTGGGTCAGTGGGCGAATTTTCATCCTACATCATGGCTCACGAACCCATTTTCATGACACCACTTTGCTACTCTTCCCTTTAGCTTAGGTAGTTTGGTCTTCGCTTTCTCTCTCGATGGGGTCAAATATTATACAATTTCTTGCTTTTCTCGATGATTATTAATAAAAACGAGTTTTGGAGCTTAGTTTTATAATTACGTGGGGTGGCTGTCGCTGTGTCTGCTGATCTTTGCTTCCCATGTGCCGCTAAGTTGGGTTTTCCCTTCCTTCTACTGTTCTTTTCACTCTGTCCGTATGGGTAGTTGGGTTTGCCCTCTAAACTTGGTTTCGAGGATGAAAAGCTCAAATTTTTAGGACAATGAGTGTTGGTGTTCGAAGAACCAGCCTTTTCTCTTCAGTCCTGTGTGTCCGTTTGACTAAGGTGGAATCGGCTCTTCTTGGATCGAGTTTCTCTGGTAATACAAAGTTGTTCTTAGTAATAGTAGTTATATGTACGGGGCTCATGCTTTCTGCTTCCTTTTATAACAATTTTTTTTTAACGGAGGACTTTCCTCGCTTTTGTTTCTATAGATTTGGATTTTACCAACTTAATTTGGTTGTTGAATGATTGATTGACTGATCGGCCGACCTTACTTTGTGAGTTTGAAGGTTGCATAAATTGCTGGAATTCTGGGCTTCCTTGCTCTTTTCTTCTTCCTCACATCTTCAAGAGACTTTTTACTCCAACCAGTGGTGAATGAAGTGCTGTTTTTGTATAACTGGGTCTATTTTATTGGTTAATTCGTGGAATTGCATCTTCGTTGAGCTTGCATAAGTCCTGCGATCATGCATAAACATGCTAAACTTCTGAGCATTTTAGTCAATTAATTCTTCGTTTTCTATAGGGAATGTGCATGGCTTCCAGATTTCTTTGTAGTGCTATAATTTTCTCTTTCACGTTTATTTTCAATTTCTTTTAATTGACGTACATTCCAAAGTTGCATGTCAAGGTATATATAAAAGACTTCCAGAATTTAGTTGCCTCTCAAAGTATCATGTAGTTGTGCAGGTCAACTCTTTAAAGCAAAATGCTCCTTTTGAAGCT